TGATCATGTAATGTTTAAAGACAGGGGAAATTGGGGAAGCACTGATTGAGGCAGAACTCCACATTCTTGCACTGCAGGTGATTGTACCATGTTGTTAGTGCCATGACTACATTAAACATGCTTATAGTGGGAAGGACACTGAGGAAGAAAATGATACTGCTACCAGCTTCCATTCACTGTTCCTACTTACAACATTTAGACAGCAAATTCAAGATCTAAATTAGGAGAAATAAATCCTTGACCTCTTCTGTTAATGACAAGGAATCTTGGAAAGCTTGAAGCTTGCTTTTGCTAGATAGGAATTCATTTTAGTTGCTTGCTGACATTCATAGTTACAGTTATTATAAAAAAAAGTATTAGTTTATATCATATTCTTAGCCTAGAGCAAGGAAGGAAAAGCATAGTGCTAATTCACATACGATAGCTACAAATGAACACGTTTTGTGAAATGCAGTGCAATGTTTTCCATTTTTTGGAATGGGATTCCACTAAAGCTGTTTCATTGTATTCAGTACTGAAATATTTTGACATATGAGCCCTTTTGAGTAAGAAGTTTGCCTTTAACTTTATCAAATATGAAAGCTTTCTAAATATAGAGCTTTTATCATTAACATCAGATTTCTTCAGGTCAACTGTTACTGCTTTTGACAAGTTGTCATTAGAAGAATCTCTTTTGACCTCATAGCTCCAAAATGCATTCATTCTTCTATTCATGTAAGTTTTCACTGCACTCAAGCCTCACAAGATCTGATATTTCTTCCATGCACTAAGGACAGAACCATGAACAGTGACACTCCTTTATTCTTTCCAGTGTGACCCAACAGTTAGGAAATAAAGAACAATTCTTAATCAGATGTTGTAGCGCTTTATACAAAACTTGTAAGTGAAAGGCAATGTGCTATAAAACAGTCAGACCTTCTGTTACAATTCACCACTATTATATCAGATAAAAACTCTAAAAAAGAAATAGGTGAGTAATGACAAAAAGTGTTGATGGATACAGCAGATGTTCCTGCAACTTTGCACATGGGTGCTCAACTGTTTTACTAAAATACTTAGCCAAGAATATCCAGAATCAGAGAAAGCATTCAGGACTTGTGACTTCATAGAAAACTCTATATATTTAGCTATATTTATCTCAGCTCAAAATCCTATAAAATACAGCCCAACTATCTTTCACATTCTCCATCACTGAAGTAAGGACTGGTCCATTCCAATAGTAAACAGTCGATGTTGCACAGATAGGAAGTAAGCAGTCATTTTGCAGAGGCTGAGAAGGCATTTTCAGCTTGGCCAACAAACCTATTTTCTTTTCAAGTCTATTGCACATTGTTTTTTAAATATACATAGTATTAAGTATATTATAGTTAAAACATATATAGTTTTTCACAGAACATCATAAAATGCATATTTTATTGCTTATGTTCCCTATTTTGTATATTATAATCTTTATCTTATTCTTCAACATTATCATTTTAATGTCATCTGCATTAAGTTTGCACATTTAAGCAATCCCCTAACTTCACACATTTAGGTTAGTCCATCTTTTAATATTGTAAATAGCTCCACAGGGCCCATCTTAGTAACTAAATTTTTGTGACTCCTCATAAATGCTTGGTTTGGGAGAAATTTCTAGAAATGGAATTTCTAGAACTTAAGGCATCCAGCATTGTGATGCTTTTGTGACAAACTGACGAATTCCCTTGAGAAAGCTGGGGAACATTAATTCTCCTACCTCCACTTTTTAATGCTGTCTTTCTTTAGACTACTTCCTTTACTGCACCACAGGCATCACTTTAATTCTTTAACTAGCTGGCCACATCTCTTCAATGGTTGAAGGTTTTTCCCTTGTTTTTTGTTTTGTTTCATTGGTTTTTAGATATTTATTTTGTTTTATTTTTTGTGAATTTCACACAAGGTATTTTGATCATATGTAGATCCCCTCCCGTATCTACACTCAACTTTCTCACTTTCTAGCCTCCATTCCAAATTTCTGTATGCTTGTAGAATCAGGTTTTTCTCTGCAAATGCCCTGAGGTGTGTGTTCATCCACTGAAGCCTGGTCAACCTACGAAGAGTTCCACCCTTAAGTGAGATTGAACTTCCCCTTCCAACAGTCAAAAGTTGCCAATAGTTCCTCAGTAATGGTGGGATTTCTTAGCCACTTCCCCAAGTCTATGTTGGGATTTTGTCTGACTTGCGCTTATGTGGGAGTTAGGAATGCTGTCGGCCTTTCTGTGGTTTCATGTGAATAACTTCCCAACTATCTGGAAAACTGTTTCCTTACCATCATCCACCACCTCTGGCTCTTACACTCTTTCTTCCCCCTCTTCCACAATTACTCCTGAACCTCGTGAGGCAGAAGTTTGATATAGGTGTCCTACTCAAGGATAAGCACTCTGAAGCCTCTTATTCTCTGCGCATTGGCCAGTTGTAGTTCTCTATGTTAATCACCATCTGCTGTATAAAAAAATCTTCTTTGCTGAGAGTTGAGAGATACATTACTCTATGGCTATAACAATAAGTCATTAGAAATGCATTTAATACTATATCTATTTAGTAGAATAATTGTATTGGGCTTTCTCCTAGGACTTGTGAGCCATCTAGCTTTAGGCTACTAGGCCTGACATCAGTGTCTGGTATTGGCTCCATCTTCTGAAGCAGACCTAAATTCAATTAGAAAATAGTTGACTAGAGCTATAGTATTCATGCTACTATTGCACCAGTAGGCATGTCTTTCAGGCATAGTTTTAATTCCAATCATGTATATTCATAGAATTCTTCACCCAAATATATATCACGAAAACTGGCAGGTGGAAAAAATGTCTGTCCTCCAAAGAATTCATCAGAAAGATCAACACTAACATTTTTTTTTCCAAAAAAGACGGCAGGGACTGGAGCAGATTTGTAGACCTTTTGTATTAAACCCAGTCTGACAATATGTTAGGCTCTGCAGCCGTAATCCATGCCACAGTGACGCAAGCCCGCCAGTGTAACATGAATGCACCTATGGACAGTATGTAAATAAATAAAGATAACTGGGTTCCCATGAGCCTTAGTTTAAAAAATCTGGCAGCTGGCCTCATTTGGTGCAGAAGCTATAGTTTGTAAACCTCTGATGTAAGTGAATCTGTATCCTGAGAAGTGGTCATAGATCCAATACTTATTTAGCTTATCACTTGAATCACATATTGAAATGGCTTAAGCATATGTCTTAAATAGTGAACACAGAGAATTCTTCAAGCGTCAGTATCATCTGAAATAATAGCCATGTTCAGATGTAGCGTCACTTCAAAATTCAGCATTCATCTACTTGAGTACAATTTTTTCCAATATTAATGTGTGCTAGACTGTTTTATAAGTTGAAGGTTATTTCTCTTTGTCTCCTAGGGTGTGAAAATTAAATTTTTCTTAATTTTGTTGGTAATCTTTTTAACCAATTCCCAGGAGCACTGCAGAGAAGAGGCTGTTTGTCAGTGCCCTCAGTCTAGGGGTTCTCTAGTTGATATGTTCATTGCTTTCAGCTCTCTATCAGGCAGCCACGGTAGTGTGTCTGTCTTTCTGGTCATCTTCATCGTGTCTTTACCTCCTTCCCTCCACCATAGTGCCATATATAAACCCTGCTATCTGTAAAGGAGGAAATTCTGATCAAAAGACCCAGATAAATCAGTTTCTGGAATCACATAAATCATCACCATAAATCCAATCGTAAGTTCTTTTCAAGGAGGACTAGATCGCTTTTCTGGGAATATAGTTTTTACAGTTTCTATTTTCCCTAGTACTCAAATTCTTTGTTGATTTTTTTTTTATTTGTTTGGGGTTTTGTTTGGAGGAGTAGGCTAAGTTCTATAACATTAAAGAATCTTTCTAGTACATTAAGTACCTTTTTATATTCTGAGTGGTTTATCATAAATTTTTGTATAATAAAATTTTCTTTACTTACTTAGCTACTTAAACTTTCCACTCTGCACCCTGCTCAGCTCTCATTGTGTGTAATGCAATTTAACATAGATCTGAACTCTAGACCAATAAGAAACACCTAAAGAGGCACTGAAAGTTACCAAAACGCAGGTCCCACATCACAAACTTTAATAATCAGTTGGTTTGGAGGGCAGAGAGCAGCACTTGGTTTGGTTGTTTTCTTATTTCATTTTGAGTCCTCTTTGTTTTTCAATGCCTTTAATCCCAGCACTCGGGAGGCAGAGGCAGGTGGATCTCTGTGAGCTCAAGGTCAGCCTGGTCTACATAGTGAGTTCCAGGACAGCTGGAGCTACAGGGAGACACTGTCTCAAAAAGACCAAAAAGAAAAGAAAAGAAAAGAAAAGAAAAGAAAAGAAAAGGGCTGCAAAACCCTGGTTTACTCTACACACTTTCTTTTAGAAGGTCTGCTGAAAGATGCATGGCAGACTACCCTGCTCCCCTTCTTTCTATTTTGTGCATTGAAATACATCACATACAAATGTGCATTTATATAAGTACTTTAACTTCGCTTTGAAAAATACCAGGAAAGTTTAATTCAAGTGACAACACACACACACACACACACACACACACACACATGTAAACACATACACAGACAATTACATATACACATACATAATCACACACAGACGTACACACATATACACATATTCACACATTCACACACATACACATATACACACATACACACCATATACATTCACATACATATACACTACACATACATGCACACACTCACATACATATACATTCATTCATACCCATATACATACACAGAGACATATACACATGCACGCACACATGCGCACACACACAGACATACACATACACATACATATGTACATATACATACACACGCACATACTTTTGGAATAGTCTCACCTTGTGGAACACTGAGACTTTAGCTTCCATCGCTGAGATTTTTTATTGTCTTTTTCTTGGTGAACTATAGTTTCTTGAATGACTTTATTTATATAACTTAAATCATGTGTGTGTTCCTGTCTTTGTCTTATTTTTAGCACCAGAGGAATGGGCCACGACTCGCTCCAGCCTAAAGGCACCGCCACCAAGGTCAGCCAGAGGGGGATACAGGGAACACCCCTATGGTAGATATTGAAGGTCCTCTCCAGCCGTGATCTCCTCAAAGACAATTCATAGCCTGTGGTCTCCACATAAACAGCAACAAGACAAGTAATAGTCCTTTCTGTTTATTTTTTCTATTCTAGGATAAGTGCTCATAATTACTCCTACATATTTCTTGTATTCCCCTCTATACTGTTGGCGTGACATTGACACTGGTATTAGTTTGCTAAACAGACACTGGCAAGAATAGCTTATAAACCATTCCGTAGGATGATACTCTTGGTTGTTTTTTCATTGTTGTATGTAACCCTCCCCCCTTTTCTTTTCCTTTTTCTTTTCCATTTCTTTTGTAAGAAAGAGCATGAATCTGTTAACAGATTTTGAGTCTCAGCCAAATAGCAGAACCTTTGTTTAGGGTTGCCTAAAGACTGTAATATGATTTTGAACTAGCTGATAATAAAGTTGTAGATAAGATGTTTTAACCTGTCTTTTAATATCTGTTAGTCAGATGAAGCTGTTCAACACTGAGTTGTGAATTTAATTTTAAATGCTGTTTTAATGGGGCTGAAAGCTAGCAGCTACTGTATGTACGTAGCTAACTGAATCTGTTCAGTGTTTTAACCTGTACTTGTTAAAAAAGAAAAAATACACACATAAAGTTCCATGTGTGAGCTTCTCTAAATAGGAAACCACAATTTGTCAGATATGTTTGCCATAATTTGTCAATAAAGCTGAAAACCTTTGTAAAAACTAAATTTGGAAGTACTTGTTTTCTAGCTTTAAATGCCTGCTTTATTTCTTCTTCAAGAGATGCCTAAAATGTTTTCTATTTAAAAATTACAAAAATGAACCCAAGCCTGTTTTAAGATATTGTGTAATACTTAAAATGTATTAATAACTTATGGTTGTTAAATAATTTAAAAGTTAACAAACTAAACTGTTACATGAATCATGGTTAGTAAACACTAATGTATAACATGTTAATGGAAAAAATGGATTTAGAATAATAAATGGATTTTAAACTATCCTCTAAGCTTTATCTTGCTAAACACAAATTCTGATTGACTTGTTTGCACTAGCATGTCTCTCGTGAGAAAGAGTAATGGACTATAAAGAGGTAAGATTACCACTTACCACTGTCTAAATGCCTAGTTCTTCAACCTTTGAGTTTCCCCGCACATTAAATATCCCATCCAACATGTAAGCATTGCGTAGATTCGATTCTCTTTATTGTTTTCACTCAAAGGAGTACGTGGACTTCATTTGCGTAGTTTATAACAATTTGTTTTGACAAACAAATCATCAGTGTCACTGGCCAGTTGTTGCTATTCAACCTCAAAAACTTTATTTGTAATTTTCAGTGCTAAATATCACCGCCCTTGAAGGCAGTTTAGAGGGCTGATTATTAAGGAAATATGTCGCAGGACTCAAAGGATGACTAAACGTTAAACAGGTAACACTAACAGTCACTGTAAGTTTGCCTCTGCAGCAGTCATGTTAAATCTTCTCAGTTATTAAGTTCCTGATAGTTAAAAAAGTAAACCTACAGAAATCTAACAAGTAGGACTATAGGCTATTAAAACAACTAATCAACTTAACTAGAGGCACCAAAATTATTTTACAATATATAACCCTCAAGGCAATAAACAGAACTAAAATTAACAATAATAGTAATGCAACTCTTGCTAACATCAAAAGTAAGCTAAATTTTGGTGGAAAAAAAAAAAAGAAAGTGAAAGACTTGGTAGTAGGGATGAATGCCAAAACTGTCACTCTTTTAAACATAGCTTTTTTGTTCATGGTGGCTTTTTGTCAATGTGATTGGTTTACTTTTTTGCTGCTAATCAGCTTAGGCATTTTGCTGTTTGGTTTCTGCAGCTGGAGTTGCATGCTAATAGTTTTATGAAGTGTGTGTTTGTCATCATTAAAACTGTAAATATCTGCCTTTTATAAAGTGCTGCTGTGTTATATTTTTCTTTTTCTATTCTTTCTCACTATTCCAGATACCCACAAAGAACATGTAAATGAGTAGCAGTGTGATGAGCTAAGGATGGAGGTAAGCAGAATTTTGTCATCTTTGACCTAGTCTTCCAGAAAGCGTGATACAACACGGAGCTACAGAGGAGCATTACAATTCTACATGCTACTGTTTGAAATACAGAAAAAGCCTGGATTATTGTTCAGTTATTTTTACCTTTGAAATAAAGCTCTGACATGGGATTTTTTTTGGCAAGACTTTCTATGTTTATTTAAGAGCTTGTCAAGGGGCTGGAGAGATGGCTCAGTTGCTAAGAACACTGGATGTTCTTGCAGAAGACCCAGGTTTGAATCCCAGCACCTACATGGCAGCTAACAACTGTCTGTAACTCCAGTTCCAGTGGATTCAACACCTCTTCTGTCCCTTGTGGGCATTGCACGACACAGATGCACTTACCTACATGAAGGCAATACACACATACACATAACATAAAAATAATAAATAAAATATTTTAGCTGGGTGTGGTGGTGCATGCCTCTAGTCCCAGCACTCAGGAGGCAGAGGCAGGCGGATCTCTGAGTTCAAGACCAGCCTGGTCTATATAGTGAGTTCCAGGACAGCTGGGACATCAAAGAGACCCTGTCTCAAAAAGACCAAAAAAAAAAAAAAGAGAGTTTGTTGAATACAATGAGAATTAGTAGTTAATCTTTAGCTCTTCCCTTTGCAATGAACCCCCTTTCTGTATGCTATTCCCGCAGTTGCACAGTGTTAAGACATTTACTCTGAAGATACAAAAGGAGAAAAATCATAGGCACTGGCTAAGGTAAAAGGGAAGAAGGGTGCTTCAATACCATGCCCACATTTAACATCCCGCTGACCAGCATCAAATAAGTGTGCCACCACTTTCTAGGGCATTCCCTGAGTTGATAGAAAAACTTGTATCTCATCCACCATTTTGCTTGATGTAGCAAATAGTTATGAAGTAACAACACTATTGAAAATTGGGATTTGTCTATACACAAGGAACTAAAATCATGAGCCAATAAACCTGATTGAAAACAAAGCAAAGCCCAACTGCTACGGAAGCCACAGGCTGACCTGAGGCTAAGAAAAACAAGATAACTGTGTGCAATGTTTGACAGGACCTGGTCCTGTCTCTGGTCCTCTTTGTTTGCAACTGCATAAAAATTGATTATTCCAGTTAAGTTTCAAGAGCTTCTGTCCAAGAGGTGGGAGAGAGCCTAGAGATTCCTGAAGCTTGAGGGAGGTAGAACTTGGCAGGGCCATTGAAATGGAGTGGAATGGAAGGAGTGAAGAGCTCAGTCCGTGGGGAGGGAAATGTGAAAAAGGAAACACACCACTGGAAAGGTCTATTCAACCCATGGGCTTGGAAGAGTTCAAACTGCTTGTCAGAAAAGTTGAAGGTCATTGGGTGCTGATGGCCCAGTTCTTGAAGGATCAGCAAAGACACAGTCTGGGAAGGCAGTTCAGGTCGGGACCTGTTTGTCACTAAGTGTGGTAGCAAATTGTTCAGACTTTATAGAAAACGTGTCAGGAACCTACTGCAGGTGTGAAGTAAAGGAAGAGAGCTATCCAGAAGGAAGCCTCCCCCCTCGGGAAACAAGAAAAACTCCCTGCTTTTCCAATTTTATAACACCTAAGTGCCTTTTATCTAAGGTGGCTTTGCAAAATGCATATTGTTAAAAGAACTACTTAACACTACATGTGGTTCAACTACAGGTCCTTTCTAGAATCAAAGATCAGTATCATACCAAAAGAAATCCTGAAATTGTATTAATCAGTAACAATCTGACTAGGCTATTTAAAATGTTACTGTCTTTATAAAATGAGAACGAATCTCTAATTTAGATATCCTCCTTGTCCTTTTCAACCAGGGGCTGGATTCGGTAAAATGATGAAAGAAAACCTAACCTTAGTTTGTTACCATGTTAATATAACACTTGTATTTTAGTTCATCACAATTATGTCTGTTGCTATGGTCATATGACCCCATAATTCTCCCATATATTCTTTAAAAGGTTCAGATAGGTTTGGGACTCATGTGAGTCCTTTGTCCCAAGTGGTGCCTGTAAACAGCAAGTGACACCGAACTTCTCATTCTGTACCAGTCAGCCACCATCCTGCGGAAGTAAATGTGGAATATTTCCCCAGGCTGATAAGAGGGAGCAAGGCTAGTGCTGGCAGGGAGAGCTGTGTACACATGCAAACCATTTGCAGAAAGTCAGGGACCTGTGCTAACTAGGGTGCAGGAAAGTCAGCGCACACAGTCAGTCAAGTGAAAATGAGAGACCAGATACTCCCTACCACTAATACCTGCAAAGCTTAAGTTCAAATAAAAAAATGAGATGAAAGAAAAATAATACCCAGAGTTCATATAGAAACTCCTGACCTAAATTAATCTGGATTAGCTAAGATTATTTTCCCCACCTGGCAGAATAGGGACTTGAGTTTGAAATCAAGTTTAGGTAAATAAAAATTAATTATAATATAATATAATCAGATTCATTTACTGCATAACTTGTCTGACTCTTAAAATGATCAGAAATTAGTACTATAAGTTTCTCTGGCAACAGGGAATGAAAATTCTCCTGAATTAGAGTAACACCCTTTCAGTGAGTGTTCCTAACAGGGGCACATGTGCAGGGTCAGAGGATGCCTTCTCTCATCAATAGCAGAAAACTGTGCTGTGTACCACCACCATCCCTCCAGAATATCATGTCTGCTTTCAGGAAATCAAAGTTACGTCTCCCAACTACAGTGAGGATTCTCACTTCTGACACCACCTCATGCAAGCAATGGAACTTGCATGGCACATTAAAGGTTTAATTACAGAACATTCTGTTTGAGCACATTTTGAAGTTCTATGTGAACTTTCCATATATTCCTTCACCCAGATCTTCAGCCAACTAAGGAGCCTATGGCAACTGGGAACTCACTAAAGCACCAAACATGATCTCTAAACAATGTATTTTAAATAAAAATAACATTGATAAGAAATATTTGTGTCTGCTAGTATTTGTCCAATATAGTTTTACTAGACTCAAGCACGAATAAATAAGAATTGATTTGATGCCATTTAAGAACGTAGACTAGGCCCTCTAATACTTAGTTTTCACTTTCAGTTTATTAATATAACTAAAGTCGTTTAGGTTAATAATAATTGAAGTGAGGAGAGTTTTTAAATGAAACTGGAAAAGTGACATATGAATGTTCTCAAGTTTTTTGAAAGAAGTGATTTTTAAATCTATTGTTAAAATATTGCATTTAATCTTTTAATGCCCACTTAAAAATGCTTGAGCTGGAATTTTCAAAACTACCTATGCCCTTGAAAATGCAACCCTTTGTAGCATCTCTTTTGTGGCTCTGAGTTCATGCAGCCTAGAATTATTCAGGGTTTGATCCTGTTTGGTTTTAAAAGGAATGCAAAACATTGGCCAGGATTCTGAGTTGACTATCCAAGTTTACAGTTGCTAAAAACCGGCTCATTTGCCAGTCCTACAGGTTCCAAGGCAAGGTTTAACTTTACTGTAAAGAAATAGTTCAGTAAATGATTGGAAATATACAATTGTTTGGGAATTTAAGTACATGAAGATTTGTGTCTGGTATGAAGACAGGATGTGAAGAATACTAACGGTAATAATGGGACTTCTATTTTTTAGCCGTATGTGCCAAGCTCAGTTCTAGAAATTTCACATAAACATCTACATGAAGCATCAGTAATTTTTACAAAAAGGACATGGAACAAAAAACAATTAGCCCATTCTACAGAAAAGAAAGTCCTTTCATTTGTAATTAGTAGCAAAGGCAAATATGTAAGAAAAAGTTTACTGGCTCACATATTTTTAAAAAAT